AACTAAAACGTGCTGGATACCGGCCCTCCAGGACCAGAACTGAATACCCCTGCCCCACAGCGAGTCGCAGAGGGGACTGGATATGTTTTAATGTTTGGAGTGGGCGGGGCCAGATAGAAAACCTGGACGTATCTGAATGTTTTAGCGATCTGCCCAAGCAGAGGCCATTGATTCATCACATTCTGGTAGAACGTCTGAAGACAGAGAGCATGTTTCCACCCAGACGGTTCTAGATCTGATTGTTGTAGGCCCGGTCCCAGTGCCCACGCTGCAGCCTGCAGTGCTCTGTGAAGTGCACAGGTGTGCAAATGACATCATCTACCCGCACCATGGCGTTGTAGCTCCGCAACTTCCAAACGGTGAATGTGCTGTTGGTGCTACTTTGCTGTTTGAGAAAATGTTAAAAATAAATGATGATGAAACAAGTGATTTAATTTCTGGCATGTCGTGCCCAAAAATACACACCGGCATCGTTATGGGTTAACAGTATTTTCCCACAGCCATGTAAAGCATCTTTCAGACCAAGAAACATTTGATTGTAATCATACATGTACACAAAAATCAAATATTTAATATTACTATACAAGTAAAAGTATTAATATAGAAAGCTTTGTAAGGGCAGAGGTCAACAACATTGAATTGTCCATCAAGTCATCTGCACAGAATGCTGTGCTTTTCATACCATAACAAATAAGTAAATACATATTTTCAGAAAGGGCATTGAGCCATTGCTCCGCCTCCATCGCTAAATTCCCACATTGGATTGGGGGTAACAACAACGCCCGCATCAAGGATGCAAAAGGGGTGGAGCCAATGTCCACTGTTGAGAATCAGGACACCCTAGCCACTTTTGTGTGTGTGTGTGTGTGTGTGTGTGTGCGCACACGCACATGTGTGTGTGTGCATTCATGCATCTGTCTGTGTGTGTTAAATAAGTCTAGTTCATGAGTGATCCCTGCATGATCCAATCACAATGACTCTAAGTGCATCGAGTCACAAAAAGCTTTACGATGAGTGTCTGTGTGAACGGGAACAGCGGGACTAAACGGTGATAATCAGGTGTGTTTCGTCACACACCTTCACAATAAAACAACCAGGAATCATTAATAGATTATTTAAGGAGTTTTATTCCTAGAGAAGATGAACGCTTTAGCTATTTAATGTGACCTTTTGTGGCTCAGCTTATAAATGCGATGTCCTTGTGTGTGTGTGTGTGTGTGTGTGTGTGTGTGTGTGTGTGTGTGTGTGTGTGTGTGTGTGTGTGTGTGTGTGTGTGTGTGTGTGTGTGTTATTGGAACTGTGTTTAGTTTTGTTGAGTGGTAGCAGGTAATGTATGAGCTGGATGCCTCCAACAGACACAGAGAGGAAATGGAGGGAACAAGGGTCACTGTGTACATCGTTACCGTGACGATAAATGAGTTGAGGGACAGAGGGACGGATCTGCTTCCTGTGGGGGACCGAGGAAACGAGAACACCTTCACATCAGAGTTTGTTCTTGACAGATAACAGAAGATTTTTTTTATTGTCTCTGTATCCTGGCAACAAGCCCACATGTTCAGACATGAAACAACCGATCGCCCACATTTTAGTTGCACTTTCTCACTTTTCTGAATTGTTCTAAGTGTTTTCCAAGGGTTTTCTTATCCATATTGGCTTACACAGGTGTTTTTGTTTTATCACATGAATACAAATGATGGAAATCTGCAGCAGCTGATACGACGAGGTTGCTTATATTATGGCAAAGTTAGAAAAGTATCTTTGAATTCATCTTTATGAGGGTGGCTAATTTGACTTGTCGAATGTGTAGAAAGGGAAATGTTTTCTCCCTGATTTCATGTGACTCGAGCAAACCTAGCTTGTGTTACAGCTGTGCATTTCACTTACTATAATGGTGTCCAAGGTGCGGCTCATGGGCCAGATGGGGCCTTCTGGGTGTGTGTGTGTGTGTGTGTGTGCGTGCATGCGTGCGTGTGTGTGTGTGTGTGAGAGAGAGAGAGAGTCATGGAGGATGGCTGCTTATACTGAGCCAGGATCCTCTGGAGGTTTCTTCCTGTTAGAAGGGAGTTTTCCTCTCCACTGTCGCTGCATGCTTGCTTAGTATGAGGATTGCTGTAAAGACTCTGACACTAGTCAGTGACTCGATGCGACCTGCTGGGTTCCTTATGTAGGAAACTTGTTACTGATTGGCTTAACGACCTGACCTGTGATGGAATGTTTACTCCTGTGAGAAAGGTGGAAAAGGTCATCAAGCATCTGGCTGTTCTGGGTGACTTCTCTGCAGCGTAACGGAAATCTACTAAAACAGGTGCAGGCAAGCCAAACTCTGTAAGTTTTGTATTTTGAAAGTATTCTTTGTTTGACTTGTAAAGCTGGGCTTCTTTAATAGTTCTGACATTTAGAATGGCTTTCTGAATCCTAATCCTGAGAACACAAGACTGAGGCTTCCTGCAGCAGCAGTTAATAACCTGAGAGGAAGAAGCTCTCGACTGACAGCAGATTTCATTTGTCTTCTCTGAACCGGTCAAAACAAAAAGCAGCAGCATTATTGGCATCTTCTAAATGCCTGAAAGAAAGTTAAATCAATTAGTGTGGAGAGGTCGTGCACTGTCAGTCGGATCGGGTTACTGGCTCGCCGCTCGTTTGATTTAAACCCCCCACTTCCCCGGCTCTAAGCCTGCCAAGGTGTTCCTCATGGCTGTGTGTGTGTGTGTGTGTGTGTGTGTGTGTGTGTGTGTGTGTGTGTGTGTGTGTGTGTGTGTGTGACAGACAGGTCGGCCTGTATGTCATGTTGACCTGTTGTCTTTTTAATTGCCATGACTTTTGTTCTGTCTTAATGGATTTTACCTGCTGAGGTGTAGAACGAGGCTCTGGTGGAACTGAGCCAAGCTTTATTTATATGGCACCTTACAACATTATAAAACCAACCAAAGTGCTTCACAGAATTAAAATACATTAAAACAAAACACGACATAAAATTACATAAAACTTTTACTTAAAAACTGGAGCTAAAAGTCTCATGCTGAGGTAAAAGCCAAAGCGTAAAAATGGGTTTTTTAAAGAGATTTCAAACCAGGTGGAGAAGAGGCCGACCTAACGCTCAAAGGCAGCTCATTCCAGAGCCTAGGGGCCGCTACAGAGAAAGCCCCGTCACGCCTGAGCTTGTGTCTTGTTTTTGGGACTTCCAGGAGCATCCTATCAGCTGACCTCAGAGACCGTTTAAGGGAGTAAAAAACCAGTAGCTCAGAGAGGTAATCTGGAGCGAGGCCATGCAAAGATTTAAAAGCCCATAAAAGCACCTTGTGCTTGATTCTAAAACAAACAGGCAGCCAGTGCAGTGAGGCCAGGACAGGAGTAACATGCTCTATCTTTTTTTGTCCCAGTGAGCAGCCGTGCAGCAGCATTCTGCGCCAACTGGAGACGTGAAAGTTTTGACTGACTAACGCTAAGGAATTACAGTAATCGAGCTTCGGTGTAATGAAAGCATAAATTACTTCTTTCAAAATCCGTTTTTGACAGCAGATTCCTATTCTTGGTGATCCGTCTTAGCTGATAAAACTAGATTTTGTCACCGCACTGATCTGCCTGTCCAAGACAAGATCCCCATCCAGAACAACACCCAGGGAAGTCACATTTGGGCTCAAGAATGGGGTGAGCTGACCAAGATCAACCACACCAGTCCCAGACGACGCACTTGGACCAAAAACTACAACCCCCGTCTTTTTTTTATTAAAAAGAAGGAAGTTAGAGAACATCCAATGCCTAACTTCGACAAAATAATCGGAAAGAGACTGCAACAATTGATTGTGGCCACTTTTGAAAGGGACATATCATCTGCAAAGCAATGAAAACGACACCCATGCTTCCTGAAAATCGAACCTAAAGGCAACAGATATAAAGAAAACAACAGGGGGTCCAACACAGAACCTTGGGGGTCCCCACAAGAGAATGAAGCAATGGAGGAAGTAAAATCCCCCAATGAGACACTGAAGGTTCTGTCAGCCAGGTACGACACAAACCAATCCAGCGCAACTCCACAAACACCCACAAAATGTTCCAGCCTAGAAATCAGGAGAGAATGGTCAACAGTATCGAATGCAGCCAATAGGTCCAACAATACCTTAATAAATAAGTCTCCGGAATCATTTGCCAATAGAATGTCATTGAAAACCCGGGGCATTGCCGATTCTGTACTGTGGACTGGCCTTAAAACCGGACTGGACTATAATTATAGCGATGCCGATCCAAACAACCAAAACCAGCAACAGGAACTAGCCAGGGGCAAAGGGGCTCCACCAAACGCCTCGGATCCCTGGATAGGTGTACGCGAGGGGAAGAGGTAGCCGCCCAAGCTTCAGCCTCGTTAGCTTTCCCCCGTCGCCACAGATGCCTCCTCCAGAGCGGTGGCACCGGATCACGCCACAGATATGCCGAAATCCTACCCAATAGTGGTGGCAAGGATCCTGCCAACTTGATCAGAAGTATTCCCAGCAGAAGAACGAAGGTCCAGATTCATTTGGGGGCAGCAGTAGCTCAACAGATTGAGCAGGTTGTCCAGTAATCTGAAGGTTGCAGGTTTGATCCCGGCTCCTTACCGAGAATTCTGCTGTTGTGTCCTTGGGCAAGAAGCTTAACCTACCTTGCCTGCTGGTGGCGGTCGGAGGGACCGGTGGCGCCTCTGTCAGCGCGCCCCAGGGCCGCTGTGGCTACATCATATCTCATCACCACCAGTGTGTGAATGTATGAATGATACACTGTAGTGTAAAGCACTTTGGAGTTCTTACTCTGAGAGGCGCTCTACAAGTGAGATCCCTCCTACCCTCACTCGTGAACAAGACCCCGAGATACTTAAACTCCTCCACTTGAGGTAGGACCTCTCCCCCGACCCGGAGTTGGCAAGCCACCCGTTTCTGGTCGAGAACCATGGTCTCAAACTGGGCTCACAAATGTAAAACCTTTACTCCACCATTGTTCTCCTGCTCTGGCTCCGTTTATGTGGCGTCTGTAGTGCCGGGCTTGGTTATCCGTCTTTGAAACAGCTGTTTTTTCTTGCTTTTCTATTTTCTCCACCAGCTGTTCTTCAGAACTAAAGCCTCTTACGTTTTAACAGCAAGCTCATCACAGAAAATAAGCAATGCTGTTTGTTTTTGTGCTCTTAGAAACGATAAGTAACACCTGTTAGAATAATTCTGATTATTGCTTTTTTATTGAGGAAAATAAATCGTAAAATGTCCAAAATTTACAGAATTCTTTTCACGTATAACACACATTTATCACAAAACAAACAAGGTTAATAGCTCCCTTTAAATGTAGAAAACAGTGTTAAAAATGGTAAATGTATTTATTCATCCGTATTTTAATGTATTCAGTAGCAGAGACCTTATTTATTAGTGAAATTCTGTCTAAATGTTAATTTTTCATCTATATTCACATATAGAGACGTAAAACAAAAACTAAAGCTTTGATTAATGAGGTGTGACAGTTTTTTCTTTCTGTGAATCCTTTAAACCAGAACTAAAACTATGATGTCACCACTAAATGAGTTATTTGAACATTCTAAGTGAGGCACCTGGAAGCTTCAGTAGATCGTTATAAACAAGTCATCAAAAGTGTTAAATCACACGAGTGAAACATCTAGATCTGCTGCTCATAAACACCTCCTGGTTTCCTGTGCATCATTTATTAGATGCTGGAGGGCGTTGCACAATTTACGACCAATTTGGCCTTCCATACATTATCCTCCAGCCATGGATCACTTGAAATGTGTCCAGATGCTGATTCTCCTGCATCCCATCATGCTTTAGAAGAAACTGTTGGAAATAAAAGTGCTGTTTCGGTCCTGATGAATGCACATGTTCTAGATAACTGGTTTTTATTCTTAAACAAGCTACACAACTCCAGCCGGATCACTTATATGATAAACAGGCATGCCTTATGCAGAGTTCTTCTGTGAGCTCTTCTGTGAGCTCTGAAGCCTTTAAAGCAGGGGTGTCAAATATGCGGCCTGCGGGCCGGATCAGGCCCGCACACAGTTTAAATCCGGCCCGCGAGATGATTGTGTAAACCTCATTTTCAGACTTTACAATGTTAAGTCTGAAAATAAGCTTTCATTTTTCAATTAAACTGCTGGTGAAAGCTAAAAGATGTCAGGTATCAGGAGTCAAAGACATGCATGAAACTGATATAGCCATGTGATCTGTGAATCAGTTATTTGAATTACTGAGGAATAGTCTAGGTTTTTTGTTTTGTATTTCACATTTTCAAATACACTTCAGGTGTTTTATTATTAATAGCGATGTTGTGCTTAAACTATTTTGGATACACCGTCCTCAGGCTCCAGCCTGGTTTTGTGTTGATCGTATTAAAACAAAGAAAACAATCTGAAGCAGTTTTTAATTTATACATACCGGGTACTTTAATTTTACTGGTCTGGCCCACTTGGGACTAGATTTTCCTCAATGTGGCCCTTGAGCAAAACTGAGTTTGACACCCCTGCTTTAAAGGGTCTCGAATATTTACTGAAAATATTTGCAATTCAATCATGTTAACTTTCAGAGAAGTGAACAGGCTGTTGTGGTCTTGGATTGTGTAAAGTTTCTCTGTAAGTGTCTGGAAAATCTTGAAAACACCTTGAAAGTGCTTGAATTTGATGTAAATAACAAACTGGGTTTAATAAGCAGCAAGTCTACAAACTGCTCTTTTATGGCTTTCCTTATTAAATCTCTTCTCAGTACAGCATAAGTATAACGCTGGCCTGGTTTTGGTGGCACTCGTTCCAGCCCGATGGAAGAACATCGCCTGCCTTAGGCGGCCTGTGGACGTGGTTCTGGCAGCAGAGCAGGATTCCTCTGCCTGGTTACAGGAGAGCTTTTAAAGCTCTGATTCAATTCAGTTCCATTCAAATTCAATTCAAAAATACTTTATTAATCCCAGAGGGAAATTGATTGCTGTAGTAGCTCAGAATAATAATAATAATCAAGTCATCAAAGAGTTGTTGTATATCACAATGGCTGTTGGCAGGAAGGATCTCCAGTAGCGGTCAGTGTTGCAGCCAAACTGAAGAAGCCTCTGACTGAAGACACTCTTCCGTTGTCGGACAGTCTTGTGAAGAGAATGCTCAGGGTTGTCCATCATTTTCTTGATTCTCTGGAGAATCCTTCTTTGCATTATCTCCTCCAGTGGTTCCACAGTCGTCCCCAGAACAGAACCAGCCCTTTTTATTAGGCTGTTGAGCCTTTTCAGGTCCCTGCTTCTGATGCTGCTACCCCAACAGACGATGGCTGAAGAGATTACCCTCTCAACAACTTACTTGTAGAAGATCTGCAGCATCTTGCTACAGACATTGAAGGACCAATGATTAATAAATGTGCAGCAGCCTGGCGGAGCTTTTACGAGGCTCCGCACCCGTCAGGAATAAAGCTGTTGTGAAAACAGCTCCGGCTGCACCGGCGAGCGTTTCGGGGACGATGAGTCAGGTTTATGAGTCCAACATTGGTCCGACCT